GCTTTTATAGAAGACTTTTAATTGTAAACAAAGACTCTTGACAATTATGATAGCAATTAAAGCTCAACACAGTCACTATTGAAAATTCTAATGACACTATTAGCAATAGTGAAGTATTGCTATTATTGTATAAAATTACCCGTTAGAAATTAATGGTTTTTCATTTTCATGTCACCAATGGGAGGATGTCACTCACACGAGTTGACACTATTGGGAGGTTTAACTCTGTACGGTAAACATTTTGCGAGGAGAGTCCCTGTGATTGCTGCCAATGTATTTGTAAATATGCAGTGAAGGGATTCTGCTTCACCTTTGAGATGGTAGATCACGTAGGCGTGAAAGCAAACAAACATGGCTCGGTTTTAGCCTCTACTGTTAATATTTTGCAAGGAGAGTCCCTGTCATTGCTGCCAATGTACTTGTATATATGAGGTGATTAGATATCTTAGGCTCATTTAATTAAATACATATAAGGCAAGAAGATATTTCTTAGGCGGAGAGAAAACACTCTCTTAAACTGCCCAATCTAATTCGAAGCCGATTTAAGAGCACTTTCATTTCGGAAGACTTGCCAATAATCACCATGCAGGGCTCATATGTTGCCTTCAACCAGCGGAAATCGATGAATCAGTTCTCGTGAACTGATTCATCGATTTCCAATCACCAGTATTGGAAAGATTATCTACGATGGATTGGTCAGTGTTGCAGACAGTGAACACTGTTGTCCTGAACTAAAAGTTTCAGGATTTTTCAGGCTTGAAATTGTTCCGGGCTGTTTTTGGCTCTTCGGTCCTATATCATCTCAAGGTTATCATATTCACCATTTCATTATGCATCCTGACTCAAGAATTAAACGTCATGATTTAGCACAATTTTTAGTTGGGTATCCTCAATTCATCAACGTATATTCGTGAAATAGCTCCGAGACATCTTGGAGACTTTGTGACTTCATCGAGCACATCCCGGATGAAGATTTCCTATATAACACGGATTAATGAGAATTGCTTTGTGCGGAACTCATATAATACCAATACTCAGATATCTCACAATTATCGTTCAAATGGTCAATACAAAACAAGCGTTAAGGAAATCAAAGATATGATAGAAACAAGGGGAGATATACATAGGACCTGAAAGATAAGGTCTCAGGCTTATCCAGAAGGTTTGGGTGTCTCGTAGTAATTCAATATGTTATATTAGATACGCAAATCACGCCGTTTTTTTGCGTGCGTGACCTGATGGGCACAGCTAAATACCAGCCTTCGAAAATTACAAGGAAAATATCAAGTTCCAAAAGATATGCGACTGTGAGATACTTTAATATCTGTTCAATAGCCAGTCAAACAGGCTGTCAATACCTGCACCATTGATTGAAATGTTCTGAACCTTTATCAGTTTCCAGAAAATGACACTGAATCGAAATTTAAACTCTCAGGTCATCGTTTTTATATTTGGAACATTAAGTGGTTTCCACATTTTATTGAAATGGATTAGAGGACGAAGATTTTTTGAACCTGTGTGTAGCAGTCGAATGGTCCCTGTCTCCGCTGATTATCCACATTCAACGAGCCTAAACTATCAGTCGGACTCAAGCTTCAGTAATGACAAATATCTCGGACAGAAGCCGGGCAATACAGGTCGTTTGCTCTGGAAGTTCACGTTAGATGCAGGATGCAAACCAGAACCAAGAACTACATATACTCATATGTGGGATCAGATTCACCAGAAATCATTTGCCTGGTACAATGGTAATGGTTTCCATCAGCTGATTGTTGAAGCTAACTGAGTACGGGCTTCAATCTGCCTTATTCTTGATTTTAATTTAGAAAGAATCACCAAGAAGCTCAAGCAACCCTAATCTGGTTGGAGGCGGACAAACAAATTATTTCAACTCCAAATCGATCTTTGCACTGGGATCGTTTCGGAAATTTTCATTTATTTTTCATTGAGCTTCTTGAATAGTATAGAAGGTTTTAGTGAGTATTTATTGGTCAACGCTGACAGAATATGGCATAGATCCGTGGCTAAGAAATCTAACTGCATACATTCCGAACTTGGACAACGCTGTTAGATTGATAATATGCACAATCCACCGAGGGAGTCTGTACAAGGTCTCCCTAGAACCTAGATTAGTATCTAATTATGAATTTTAGACACCTTTGAACGCAATATTAGCAGCAATGTAGAGACGGCGGAGAGGTGGTATGTGTCTCCTTCAAAATAATAGATTGGAGGCTGCCCACTGGCTTAATGGAAGTAGACGCTTTGATCGAGAATGGTAAATCGAATATTAATAAACATGTGGCCTTCAATTGTAGTACTAGGCGCCAACAATAAGAAAGTATAGGAGCCTTTCCGGACCCATGAGAATTGAGTGATAATCTACAGAATTTGACGGTCAGGTAATGAAAGGATGGTGCAATTAGATTGCAGAGACTAAGATCTGCTTTGAGTATGCAGAGCTCCAGCGAAACCTATAATCGGGTTTCTCATGAGATGTATCAGTATATGCTTTAGGGTTCAGGAACTGCGTCTGGGCAGTTAATCTGGTTGAGCTATTAGCGCTCGAAGTGATCACGCGCTCTCTAGGGAAATTCATAAATATCTCTTTTCCATTAGATCGTACCGGTTTGTGAGAAGAATCAAAGGGCCCATGATGCAAATGGATGGGGCGAATGGTCTATAAAGGTGATAAGAGAAAATTGAAGGGTAAATATGGACGCAGTGGACCTGACTAAAGCGAACTCCGAGTCACGATCTTGTGAAGAAACTTATCACTTCATGTTTTCTGCCAGTGTATGCACTCAGCCACACCACAGCACGCCTACATTTCAATTGAAGTAACACAGTGACTGCTCTCACTAGAGAGGTCCAAACAGCTTCATCTGCTTCTTCACATATACACATGTTTGCAGCCCAAGTGCATCGAACCAAGATACATGACCGTGAACTTTTCGAAGAGTGTAATACAACAAACAGCTTCTAGCTCAAGGCTTCTCTCTCAATGAACCGATTTTAGTGCCAAACATCCTGTTCGTTCCTGAATCAAACTTTTGGTTACAGATCCAGAGACGCTGCGTAACATATTGGAGCTGCCAAAGTCTGAAAGGTCACGGGCCCATTGACGCTCGATAAACATGAGAAAAACAACAGTTCCAACTACAGTGTCAGTGTAGCATAAGTACGGACTTACGAACAGTCTAAGAGCACTTCCGACATGAAATATGCCAGGAATCCACTGGAGCTTCGACAAAAAAAGAAATCTGGATACACTGTTCACATGGAAAGTGAACAGGCCATGTCCTTGTAAATAAAGAATTAGTACTGTATCATGATTCATCATAACAATGACCTTGAATCATCCAGCTGCTAAGTGACCATAGAGCTTCGCACTCCTTCAATATCCTACTGCATGCAAGCGCACACTTTTTTCCAACGGGTGTCAAGGGGTATGTATCCGTGCCTTTGAACACGCACTAAGAATATTGCGGATTCGCCAGGGTGTATACGGGGGCTTGAACTCGTTGGAAGTCCAGGATCGGAGGACGTTTTGTTGCATAGAGGTGGACAGGCTATGTGAGCCGTTCTCAGAATCATATAGAGCAATATTGTGCAGTAATAGTTCTCAAGGGTAAGGCCACCATTCTCTATGTGACTAATCCGGTGAACTCAGAAATTAGTCATCAGTGCAGGAAGTGACGAGTTCATCGTTGTTCAGTGCCTGCTCAGCTTACACTCTTCTTCTGCCTGGCTAGTTGGCTTGTTTTTCACATTGATCGTTCGGGAGCTAGAGAAGATCGAGTTTGAAAAAAAGTGATTCACATTCAAGTTTAGTCTTGAGAAATCTGGATAAACCAATCACTGTTTTATAAATCACGTATTATAATCTACACTTTAAATCAACGTGTGCTCAACTTGAAATCTTCTCATGATCTTTATCCAGGGCTAGAGTTTTGGTGCCTAGTTTGTTCCATATGCTGCGGCTAGTACGGGCTCTGGTACAGGGAATAACCTCATCATTACTGAGAATGGGACTTTGTCTCCTAAATTGGCCCCATGTAAGGTTTCCTTTCTACTTATGATCATCAAATACATCAACATTGCTATTGATAATTGGAAATTCATGCCAAAACTTATATCGAACCACATCTTGGGGTACAATTTAAAGCCGAACTCTGCACTTAGGTAAGGCAGTCTCAGACAGGGTTACTTCTACACTAAATGCTACCGGTTGCCTTCTGCAGTTTCTAGCTGAAGTGCACTGAATCTGGCCACACGACCTTAAACTGTTGTGTCGTGAGATATCGAATGGTTTCAGGTCCACATCTTCTGGTTATATGAGCCAAAAGTAGAACTCATCGTTCATCGTTCTTAAATCAACCATTGTTTAGTCCAACATCGGGGGACGCTGATGTTTTTGGGCTCTCAACGTCTGAAAGGTCGTTGGCTCATTGACTGTTGGTAAACATGAAAAAGCAATAGTGACAGTCAAGCATGAGTGCCGAGTCACATTAGTGTAAGGGGTACTTCAGACATGAATTGAGCTGAGGATCCACTCAAAGTACATCCATCAAAAATACAATCCAGATCCACTCTGATACTGATACTGACCACGCCCTTTCCTTGGAACATCATGAGCAGATGATAGTGTACCATCTACAATCATGACAACGATGAAGTTTGGCACTGAGGGAATAGTCAAGCGGCAATAGGATTTACATGATGCTGGATGACCTCATGATTTCGAATTTCTCATGACAATTATACTTCACATTCGCAGGCACTTTACTTGCTTTTATGTCAAGGTGGTAAACGCTTGCTCAGGGACAACCAGTTGAAATTCTGCGGCTACACGAGAGTGAGTCTGGGGCCCTTGAACTGGTTGGAAGTCCAGGATCCGAGGACGTGTTGTTGCATATGGCTACGCCGCACTAGCTGCCCCTTTAAAGTTTCATATAAAACGTGAACTCTGCATCAATTCAATCAAACAAGATCCAATGCAAGTACATTTCGTACCAGGCCTTGAACACCACTCTCCAAAGTAGTGTTCCGAGCTGATAGCCCAATAATGTAGAGCAGCATTTTGCAAGTTCAGTTCTGTTGGGTGCAAGCTCGCTCAGCTCATACTGAACTTCCGATTGTTACTGGCGAAGAGGAGCCGACATCGAGCTCGCACGCAGCAGCTGCTGGTGGACACTGAGGTCGCTCGCAGCATCTGAGGACGTGCGAACTATGGCTCCACAAGGTCAAGAGTCTGCCTTCTCGGTTCCTGGCGATGAAGCTACCGATCTGAAGGGTAACAAGTTTGCACTTCCCGTGGACTCCGAACACAAAGCGAAGACACTTCGTCTGTACTCGTTTGCATCACCGCACATGCTAACCTTTCACTTGTCATGGATCTCTTTCATGACCTGCTTTTTTTCCACATTTGCCCCGCCTCCTCTCATGCCCGTCATCCGAGACAACCTCGACCTGACAAAGGTAGACATTGCGAATGCTGCCGTCGCCTCAGTCTCAGGCTCGATCATCTCCCGCCTGCTGATGGGAACCATTTGCGATCTCGCGGGTCCTCGCTACGGATGTGCGATCCTCATCATGGTGACAGCTCCGGCTGTGTTCTGCATGCCGCTCGTCAACAGCATCACGGGGTTTATCATGGTGCGGTTCTTCATTAGCTTCGCTCTGGCAACATTCGTGTCGTGCCAATTCTGGATGAGCTCCATGTTCAACAGCAAGATTGTGGGCCTGGCGAACGGCACGGCTGCTGGCTGGGGAAATGTGGGAGGCGGCGTGACTCAGCTGGTGATGCCGTTGGTTTTCAGCCTCATCCAGCACCAATTTGGAGCCGAGTACTTCACGGCCTGGCGTCTCGCCTTCTTCGTTCCGGGGGTGATGCACGTGGTGATGGGGCTGCTCGTCCTCACTCTGGGACAGGATCTGCCGGATGGAAACTACGCAGCTCTGAAGCGCTCAGGAAACAAGGTCCCGGACACATTCGGCAAGGTTCTGTATCACGGCGCCACGAACTACAGGACGTGGATCTTCACAATCACGTACGGTTACTGCTTGGGAGTGGAGCTGACGGTCGATAACATCATCGCCGAGTACTTCTACGATCGGTTCGACGTCAATCTGTCCACGGCAGGGATCATCGCGTCCACCTTCGGATTCATGAACATTTTCGCTCGACCAGCTGGTGGAATCATCTCTGACTTGATGGCGCGCAGGTTCGGCATGAGAGGCCGTCTGTGGGCTCTGTGGATTATCCAAACGCTCGGAGGAGTTCTGTGCATCATTCTGGGAATCACTCACCAGCTCACCAGCTCCATTGTTGTGATGCTCATCTTCTCCGTCTTCGTCCAGGCGGCTTGTGGAGCCACGTTCGGAGTGATTCCGTTCATCTCTCGAAGGTCGCTGGGAATAATCTCGGGTTTCATTGGTGCCGGAGGAAATGTTGGGTCCATTCTCACTCAGGTTCTGTTCTTTTCGAGCTCCAAGTACTCGACCGAGACGGGTATCATGCTGATGGGGGTGATGACAGTGGCGTGCACTTCTGTCCTGTTCTTGGTGTACTTCCCGCAATGGGGAGGTATGATCTGCCCTCCTAGAGTCAAATCCACGGAGGAAGATTACTACGGTGCAGAGTGGAATGCCGAGGAGCACGCTGCTGGTCTCCATGAGAGTAGCCTGAAATTTGCAGTCAATTCGAGGTCAGAGAGAGGAGCCAGGAGGCAATCAGTGGAATCTACCCCTGCGTGAGCACATATAGAACCAAATTGAAGGAGCTTCCAGTACTCATCGAAGAGAGCTCCAATGGCTTTCAAGGTTTATGTTCTCACTGCTGCCGTAGAACATTGGCGTACTACAGTTGAACACTTAGCAAGTGCTGTCTCAAGTCAGGAGTTTTCTTATCATTGACCAACTGGGAATGAAAGAGAAGACATAGAATCGCAGGATTGACTAGAGTTACAGTAGGAAGGATAGATGATAAAATTTGGATATTTAGCTCATGATTTTTTTCTTCACATCATGAAATCATTTCTGATGCGAAGTTGGCAAATGAACATAGCTGTATACCAGACCTCAGAGAGCGATAGGACTACTAGATTCAAGACTAGACGTTCGAATGATCGTTCGAAATTAGGACTCGGAGTATGACATAGGGATTACGTCAATCAATGCGAATGGGTGACTATATTTGGTTCTGTTTATAAACTCTTCTTCGAGGTTTACGTACATTGGTCATGCAGTACATGTAGTATCCCAAAACTCTTCTGCTGGTGAAGATCGTTTGATTGCCACTCGTGAAGGTCGTAGAATACGTCGACGACAGTAGTTGCAAGTTAGCAGAGAATATTCTTCAGGTGTCGAAGACCAGAAGGTTGGAAGTACTTGTCCCACTTTTTGTACAGAGGAGACTGACGGTGTCCCTGGTTATATGATTTCACAACATTGGACTGCCTCTATCAGTTTAATATTGCTAGAACTTTCAAATCTTGTGGATGGTTCAATGACTAGATTTTGATAAGATTTGGATCTTGGTCATTCACATACTCGAAGAGTAAGGGTACTGACTTCCCATAAGTACTCATCCTCACCGCTTTCGCTTGAGAATGATCGTTCCCATCAGTCAAAAAGAAACACACCGGCCCTGCACCCAACTGGTCTCCACTCGTGAATCAGCATTAACATTTCTAAAAAAAAGGTTTCCATAGGACAAGGAGCCCTCAAAGTGATTTCAGACTGGATGTTCAGTCTTCATCAATCACTGTATATATATTACAGAAAAGATTGATCCCAGAGTCCGCCAATGGATTACTGCTATCCAAACATTGCTGCCTGCGATGTCTGGATGATATTTGGCATGAGGAGGAAGATTATTACACTGAGATTATTAAACTTTCCACGGAGGAAGATTATTACGGTGGAGAGTGGAATGCCGAGGAGCACGCTGCTGGTCTTTATGAGAGTAGCCTGAAATTTGCAGTCAATTCGAGGTCAAAGAGAGGAGCCAGGAGGCAATCAGTGGAATCTACCCCTGCGTGAGCACACATAGAACCAAATTGAAGTAGCTTACAGTACTCATCGAAGCGAGCTCCAATGGAGTTCAAGGTTTATGTTCGCATTCCTGGCGTAGAACATTGGCGCGCTTCATTTGATTCATTTAGCAAGTGCTGTCTCAAGTCAGGAGTTTCTTTATCATTGACCGACTGGGAATGAAAGAGAAGATTTAGAATCGCAGGATTGACTATAGTGACAGTATGAACGATAGATGATAGAATTTTGATATTTAGCTCATGATTTTTTTCTTCACGTCATGAAATCATTTCTGATGTGAAGTTGGCAAATGAACATAACTGTATACCAGACCTCAGAGAGCGATAGGACTACTAGATTCAATACTAGACGATCGAACGATCGTTCGAAATTAGGAGTCGGAGTATGACAAAGTGATTACGTGAATCAATGAAAATGGGTGACTAGATTTGATTCTGTTCATAAAGTCTTTGTCAATGTTTACGTACATTGGTCATGCAGTACATGTAGTACATCTCAAAACTCTTCCGCTGGTGGAGATCGTTTGATTGCCACTCTTGAAGGTCGACGAGAGTATTTGCAATTGAACAGAAATTACTCTTCAGTTGTCGAAGTACTTGTCCCACTTTTTGTACAGAGGAGACTGACGTTAACCCTGGTTCTTATGATTTCACTAACCTGGAGTGCCTCTATCAGTTTAACATTGCTAGAATTTTCAAATCTTGTGGATGTTGCAATGACTAGATTCTTATAAACAAGATACTCTTACTGTAGATGCCTTAGAAATTTTATGTCACGGGCAGAAGCCGCCTTCGATCATGTGGTGCAGGTAGACTCGTTCCGATTGTGTGTGATACCATGAAAAGAATACAACTTGTGATTGCGGTATATTGAAAAGAGCGGCTGGTTTACCGATGTATAGGCTGAACCGTTTCAGTTTACTTTCTTGCCCAATTGTCACCATCTACGGCCGGGCACCATAACTACTGCTGGCACGTAGTGCGAGGGGTGCGTTTTCGGGCCTGGTAGCTGGGACTATTTTTTCGGCCGAAGGATACTGATTTAGGCTGTAGAACCCCTTCGGCTTTACAATTTCTGCAGACGTCTTTGGGCCTTGAGCTCCGGCCATGTAAAGGCGAAGTAGTCATTTGACCCATAGGCATAGAGTACGCGTGCAGCGTGTTCAGGTTTTGACATTGTCCGCAGAGCTTCCAAAATTCGAGAATTCAATGTGCCCCTCGCGCGTACTCTATATGTCAGATTGAATTCTCGAGTTTGGCGGCACTATACGCATTGTATTTTTGGCTCCTCTGAATTTCTTCTTCGCTGAATTCGGTGGTGTTCATCCAAAAATCCCGACTCGCTCGACCTCATCCGCTCTTGGGAGGCAAACTGAAAGCCTTTGACTTCACGCAAAGTCGAACCGAGGTTAGATTATGCAATCGACTTGGTGGAGCATGTGCTGTAACAATCATGATGTGATACAACGAAATCTGTTGGATTAGCTGTGTTAACATGTTTTAATATCTTAAAGTAAGACCGGAAGATGCCATGAGACATATCAAAAAGTTCAAAGTACATGAGCATGATGGAAGACCAAAGAGTACATTCTTAACAGAAAATTCAAGCTACGTCATGCCTAAGAAGAAAGTGAATTTCCAACTTCGGGTGACAGAAAGTTTTCAGGTCTCCTAATGCTGTTCAAGTATATTATAAAGCAGTTTGGCATTCAACTATCTTCCAAAGTTATACCTCATTGTCAAAGCATGAATGAGCAAATCGTGGAAAGAATTCGCACAGAAGTATAGACCAGAAGAGAATAGGAGATTCTCTCTGCAACCATACGTCCAAGCGAAACAGAAGAACTACATCCAGTGATTAGAAATTATCAGTGGAGGATTGACATTGGCTTTCGTGAATCACCAGAAATGTACGTGATGATCTCGAGTGGAACTTCAATCCCTAACAATCATTTTCTTTAGGATCGATTCGATCCGTCAGGAAAGGTGACCTCTGTAAAAACCGAAATAATGTCGTGGGACAATAGACTTTTGATTTTATTTAGACTTGAATTAATCATATTTGATCTTCTTTTCTTCACACTCTTTATATATGACGTTTTGGCAGAGGATTCATATTAAATGTTAACCCTGTAAGAAGACAGCAAAGAATTGGGCGATCTGCCAGGGTGATCAGTGGTCTCTAGACCTTTAACATACTCGTATAGATTTGCATGACCAGGCGAGGAATTCTTTCATTAGAGGTTAGTTCTACCTGGATTGAAAACTGACATCTGACCATGAAGAATTCCACCTGGAAATATACTTTGAAAGTCTTTAGATTTGACCGATTTCCGTAAACCGTACCTATTCTCGGAGATACATTTGCTCAAGAATTGCTCCTAGATGCGCATCTGCCGTACTGCTCACTGGCCCACCCCATGGTCTAGTGAGGGTAGTTTGCAGTTCAAACGTAGAATATCCTTTTAGATCAGACAGAGAGGGAAACAACTGAGTAGCCAAACCACGATTTGTTGAGTTGATCTGCACCAAGGGCCACTAGCATCACGGATTCTTACACGGATGTCAGATGTCTGACTCGCACTGTGTTTCGGAAATGTATGTACTTGACTGTCGTCTTTAACGTTGGCATTATATACTGTGGAAGCAGCTACAATGGGCTCTTCTACTCTTCATCGACAAGAAAGTGGCTGGCAAGTTGAGACGGAAGGCATCATCGATTGAGCAGTATGCCATTGCAATGTCAAATCAAACAAGAAAGTATGTTCCAAGGATCAGTGTTGATGGGTACCTGCCACGTCGTCGTGCATCATGCATTGTCGATCTGATCCATCTGCAAAGAGAAATAATTCAGACATCCCGAATTTCGATTGTCCACATAATTCGATTTCAAAAGAGCTTATTTCTTGAGGTTATGTTTGTAACCTGTTAATTCCCATGTCTGAACAGAGATGTGCTTCACAGTATCCCTCGGAGGACATCAAAGTGGAGCCAATATGTCTTGGCCGGCTAGCCGGTTCTGTATTATTTCTTGGTCATTCACATACTCGAATAATAAGAGTACTGACTTCCCATAAGTACTCATCCTCACTGCTTTCGTTTGAGACTGATCGTTACCATCAAAAAGAAACACACCGGCCTTACGCCCAACTGGTCTCCACTCGTGAATCAGCACTAACTTTTTCTAACAAAAGGTTACCATAGGACAAGGAGCCCTCAAAGTGATTTCAGACTGGATGTTAAGTCTTCATCCATCACTTTATATACATTAAAAGAAAAGATTGATGCCAGAGTCCGACAATAGATATTCAATCAAACACTCAGATCAAACTCAAACAATCAATTAATCAGATGCAATGTCTGGATGATATTTGGCATGATCACGCGAAGGCGGTCTCCGGTTCGTCTTTCTTCTGAGCCATGTCGGTTGAGCAGGTGGTTGCCTTGGTACGGCCTTACTGGCTCTGCGCGAAATTGGGAACATGGTCATGTCGTCTGAATAAACTACACAGTTCCACTAGACGCATGGAAAGACCTCGAGCCCAGAGGTCCGTTCCTGTGTTCAAGCTCTGGAACATGGTCGCGATCGTTGCGTGCGATGCTAATAGCAGCCACATCAGGTGACAAAGAGGACAAGGTCCACAATCAGACCGTGGCAACAAATTCTAGTCCGAGGAAAATGAGGTTGCTTTTTTTCGCTGGGAAGTTTCAGGAAGCTGGTTATGCCCAGAAGAGCTTTATTCTGTGCTAGCGTCCATCTGTTCGTGGGATGTAAGCGCTACATGTGACTCAAATGCGTTAATAAGTTCTTGTGCTAGTCAAAGATTCTGAGTTGAAATCCATGTATCTATATCGAAAATATGACAATCCCTCCGTTTTGTTGTTGGTGTGATCCGATATATCAGCACTAATATTTGAAAACACAACTGTATGAAGATTCCATAACCAATAGTTATAATTTAGTTCCATAGTCACAGTTATTACATTCTACCCATTCGTTTTACATCGTTCGTCAAGAGTTGAAAGATGTCAGGGTATTACCAAAAAGCATGATATTGTATCCAACGCGGTTATAACTAGTTGGTACTGGACTATTTCATTGGTTAATTTCCTTGATACTTACTATTGTACGCTCCATGAAGATCAATCTTGGTATGGATCTTTGCTTGACCAAAGTGTTCAAGAAGCCCTGAAATCAGCGGCAATGGATACAGTTATTGATTTTGACCTTGTTCAGTTCACGATATTCCATGCACATTCAAAGAGAGTTGTATTTCTTCTTGATAAATAGTTTAGGAGCTCCAACAGGTAACTTATTATGTAGAGTGAAGTTATTCTCAAGATTTTCATCGAGGTAATCTCGCAGTGAGGCAAGCTATGGGAGAAGCGGTACATTGAACCAA